CTTGAGGCCCCACGAGACCCAAACAAATCAATAGCAAAACATACTCTCAAATCAACCGTAATCAACCTGACTGAAACTGAGAATGCTGTTATTAAATCTGATCCCATACGCTCACAAACATAATACACACAGACACACATATACCCACGCGCACACTCCGGTACAGTGAGACTACTGTATCTTGGATAAAAAGCCTGAAGCTGTTAGTGGCTGCTAATATACGATAAGGACTGCACAGCTAAGGTGCACAATCTGTGCAGTATTCAAATATCTCAAAATTCATCAAGGGAATAATAAACATGGGATTTATTTCCCACCAATTCCCCACAAAATACAGTCTAAGTACAGGTAACACGGCTATTATTCCCTTTTAGCGAGTACACTGAGCCTTTTCTTACCATTTTAGTCTTTGAGATATGCAAATGTGCAAAAGTCAACAAAGCTATGCTACTGTGAGAAGCTGTCCGAAAAACATTTTTCTATTTGGGCTAATGAAGGATAAAACAAAATGCCATGACTCACTGTAGCAAAAGAATGCAACATTAATGAGTTAAATTAAAAGTAAACACTTTCAGGAACACAGTGCACATTTTCATTTAGTCAACACTTTGCCAAAAAGTTACTTCCCTTTGACTATATCACAGCCTTAATATGCACAACGGTGACTACACCTGCTCTACTTTTCTTTAATGTATTCTCTGCACAAAAAAAAAAAAAAATATAACAGAAGCAAAATTGTACAATGTCTTTTCAGAGGATTTATTTTTGCCACTGTCTAGGTAAGTGTCTTCTGGGAAACAGAACTGGATGTGCGGGTGGAATAAAAGGCTGTTGAAAAAGTGGACTTTGCAGAGGGGATGGCAGGATTCGCCTGACTGTTGCAAAGGGATTTAACTGATTGACAGAAACTGCAGGACAGCCGACCCCCCTCTCTGATAGTGTTGGCAACACGGTTCTAAAAGGGAAAATGGGAGATTAATAGAGCCTTCAGTGCAAAAAAAAAAAAAAAAGTTTGAATGTGCGACACCTCCTTTTCTATCTCTCCAGGGAAATGTGGAAGACTTTCCAACAGATGTGTCCTCTGGGCTCTGAATCACAAGATAATTAAAAGGCACTTGACGATCAGAGGGCTGCATTCTAATATTGCGTCTCCAACTCGGCACAATGCTGCTGCATTGATAGAATCCACTCAAAGGGCTCAATGCAAACAGGTAAAAAAATATCATCACCTGGTTTTTATCATGCACAAATAGAGGATCCATTGTGTGAGAAGGGTATCATTTTGTCAATCAAGCACTGAAATATTCTATTTTCTTCAAAAGGGGCAATAAGCATTATACGACTTTTATCAATCTCTGTTTATGACCAAGGACATGCGGCATCGATAGGACTCTGCGCAGCTTATGGTACAGCAGCATCTAAATAACAAACGTAAAGTCACATTTTCCTGACAGACAAGTAAGCCGACCGAGCAGAGCGGATATCCAACAGAAACATCCAGTTAGGAGCAGGGCAGAGGGGGCAGTAATCTCAGCACCAATCATATGTATTGCTCAACAATCCTTTCAAACCCACGCAGATATTTCATGGTCAGCATATGTGTGAGAGGACAGTAATAAACGTCCTTATTTAAAAGACTCTGTGAGAATCGATGATTTTGTAAGAACGCTTGTCTCTGTTTTTTTTTTTTTTTCGGGTTGAAGATGTCACTCTCTGGTTAACTGACCGCATCTGCTCACTGGGAGATGCTTGCTCCGAATCGAAGGAGGCTGTTCAGCTTTGGATCTGGAAATGAGGCTGTAGATTGGATTATGATGCCATTTTTAATCCGTCTTTTTCCCTCGCAAGATATTGCTCCTCCTTTGCTTCTTAGCGTTATACAATACTTGACAAGAGGAGATTTTGCTGAATTCCGGGCGCAGTGATGACTATGTGATTCCTTGTGACACTCTAATTTGAGCTTATAGTGCCAAAGCTTTGATGCAGACATGGGAATAAAACTTTTAGTCACAGAGACCCTTCTCCTCTCTTGGCCAATTAAAAGGTCCCCCTCATCTCCTTGTGTACTTTAATTACAGTCGTCTTGTCCTGTCTCTGATCCTGATTTCGGAGTCCAAATATCACGTTTTCTCCCTCAGTTCATTAAAAACAAAATACTAGCTATAACTCATCTCAACACGCTGCGTTAACTCACTGACATGGTGGACTGTTTTTCTCCATTTCACATGGAGCTGGGTGTTAAATATTATCTCAAGCATGCTGATAAAAAATTTATCATAGATCAATCCTTTAATCTATTTGTGTATTGAGGAGTTATCTTATTCATGCTAGTCACAGAGAAATATACAAGAATCTTTTCCCATACAGAGTTAGCCGAAGCACCAGTTCAATACTTTTACTCTCCTGATTGAGAGCCACATCTGTGGTTTTAATTGTAGTGTGAGTGATTACGTAATCACAGTGTTGAGTGATTGGACCACAAGCCAACTGCTCTCAGTTTGGCAAAATGTTTAATTATGGTAATATACAGTACCCACCCTCAGACCCTGAACAAGTGGGTGGCTAACCTCATTTTTTAGAGCACTTCTCTCTCAGCGCATTTTCATTTATCTATTTATTTTGGAACATCTCGCTGAGAGACTCACAACATCCATCTATTTCGCTCGGTGCAGTGTGGAGCCCCTGTTTCAGCATCTTGCTCAAAGACACTTCAAAACTGACGACTGGTGCCAAATCTCTGACCTTTCAGTATCAGGACAGTCTCCCCGAGCCCCAAATCACCCTTCCTCATGACATTTAACACAGTGAGTAAGAGAGCAGAGGGGGTCAGAGGAAACACAACCAGCTGGGAGGAGCATAACAAAAATGGCAAACTGTCTAATACATGTCTCACTTCCTGATGATGACCCGTCTGAACTGTTTGTGGGTTTGGGAATAAGAATTGCTGATCACAGTCTGGTGTTTTAGAATATCCTCAAACAGTTTCCAAAAAACATTATGCTTGAGATGTTGTTTAAAGATTGAGCAGACATTGGCCAATATTTCATGATGTGGTATAATAATGCATATTTCATAATGCAGTACAACCCAAGCACTGATTGGAAACACTAAACACTATACACACACATACATAGTGTATCTCTCCTCTCTCTTTCTTTCTACCTCTCAATCATGCACATTTCCATGACAACTAAAAACAGCTGACGAATAAGTCGATGTAAAATTAAACACAGAAAACATTCAGCGATGTTAGCCACCACAGCATTGCCCCCTCTCTCAGGATAAACAGGCAGACGAACGTGTCTGTTTTCTATTCTAGGAAGAGTCTCATTTAGCCTTTTTTCACTGACACCCCAGGCCTGTGAGCAACTCGCACTACAACTCACATGTCTCTCAAAGTCAGACATCTTGTTCTTGAGGTAGAAAAACACACTTCTGTGGTAAGTGAGTTTTCTTTATCACATGCCATTACACCATCATAGCCAATCAAACACCAGGCAGGCTAGACGACATTCAATGTCACAGACAAGGAGAAATACAGTGTATGTAACAGTGACACTCTTGCTCCATATCATTTTACAGCAACACAGATGTCTCCATGAGATTTAAACGATAGGTAGAAAATGCATATGTAGATTAAATGCCAAGACTGACACAACTTGTAATGAAACCATTTTCCTGAATTACTGAAACAGAGGAAAATGTGTTTAATTAAAAAAAGCAATAATAATACAAGCTATGAAGTAGCAAAATTGATTTTTTTTTAATTCCATTAAATTTTATTTTATTTTACTAATCATCTGAGCACTTTTTAATCAAAACCATCTCACTATATGAGGCCCATCTAATAATATTAACATATGTGTGTATTATGGTGTGTATACTGTGTAGAGTATGAAGTTCAACCCACAGTTTTACTGTTTTGGAAATAAATAACAAGTGTAGACAAACAGCTCAGTGGCACTTATTAGAAATTGGTCATCTGAGATGCTAAAAAATCCCTATGCATACATATGCATTTGAGTGAAACTCTTTATTTCTCCAATTGTTTAAGAGCACTGTGTGATGACCCTTCTAAAAACCTAAAAGCAAGTACAGAGGACCTTAAATCTAGTCTTGCTTAGCAGTTAAGAGCCCGCATGTGGCCGTGAATCAGATGCATATGGCCAATAACAAACTCAAGGGCACTAGCAACACACAGCAATCTGTAGGCCAACAAAAGAGTCCTCATGGACTTTCTCTATTCAGTTTTGAAGCAGCTGTTTGCCACTAGACGACACTAGGAAATGCAGACATACAATGTGTTCATTTTAAAATTACTCTATCACTTTAACTATTGGCCAAAACCTATTTAAACACAATGACTTAATCCTGGTGTGTTTGCAAATACAATGTAAGAAAGGAGAATAAGAAACTCAGTATGTAAGCCTGTGACTACAATGTGAAGTGAAGGCCTCGTCACTAACCCTGATCAGTAATAAATGAGGTCCCCCGAGCACAAGTTTATCATATAAAGAAAAAACACTGAAGAGCTTTAATCATGCATCCATTTGGATAGCATCTGCCCAAGATAGGTAAACTGGCCTAATTAGCAAAGGTTGTGTTATCTGTGTTTTGTTCCATAACACAACACAGTGCTTCTAAAGGCCTCCTGGATAATACCTCTTGAGAGTAATGATTTTAATTCTTCTAGTGTGTTATGGCACTGAAATAATCCCTTAATAATGAGTGACTAATTAGTAAATTGTAAGGATTTTTTTTTAAAACAGTAGCTTGGTGAAATGTCATCTTTCAAAGTGAAGGAGTACGATGTCATGTAGGCACTGTGAAGCTGAATCAAACAATGAATGGGCTGCTCTTCAGCTGATGGATGCCCTTACACATGATAAACACACTGAGAGACAAACACTTGGACCTGTGAGAGGCATCAACGTTAACGTGACGCTTATTCTAAGGCTTTTGTTGTTTGGAGAGCATGAGTACGAGGTGTCTAAATTTACCTGAAGTCACTGTACGGGTGAATTATCCAAAATCCGGCGGATTTAACCCGCTCTTGTTCCCGTTCAACCGCCTTCTCACTTCCAAACATCCTCAGGGAGAACTTGTTGACCCCTGGTTGAAGCATTGCTCCAAACTGTCTGTGCATGAACCCAGCTTGATATAATCTCTCGTCGTCCGGCAGAATTTGATCAATGCCATCCAACTTTATAAACCCTGACTGCTGGTCTGGGGAATCTTTCTGGGTGCCACCGCCACCGCTGGCCCCTTGCGCGCCTTGATCCGGCGGCCCATCACCGATGGCTCCGGGGGGGCTCTCCTCGCTCGGGGTGACATCCCCCTCGGTGATGAGGCGCCTCTCCTCCGCCGAGTCAGAGTCGTGCACATGGCGACTTGTGATGGACGAGAGGCTGCCTCGAAATCTCCGACAATCTCCATTTGAGCTGGTCTTCATCGGTCTCCCTATGTCCGTCTCCATGATCACAGACTCCCCACTTTTGGTCTCCCCGATGCCTTTGCAGCTTCCCCCAGAGGTCGGCGACGGTGACGGTAGAGGCTTCATCCTAAGACTCTTCCTCCGGGTGTCCTTGTCTGCGTCTTCTCCTTCGCCCATTATAGAGGCTTTGTGTCCAATGTGCTGTGGCAAGCTGTAGAGCCTTTTACGCATGGAGGAGTGCAACCTGTCCATTATGACATTGAGACTTGGCGGAGAAAATGAAATAGATCCAGATTGTTAGGCTGTATAGTAACGACTATTGCCACCAGCCCCTCGCTCCCTATCTGTTTGTGAGAGCGATCAGTCTGGAGCTAATCTGAATCCCTGAAAGCCTGCTGCACATGACATGGACCGCCGTGGCTCTACTGAAACAGATGAGCGACACTCTTTCTCATAATTAGACTACCTGACAGTTTGCATATGTCCTCACGCACAGCCTGGGCGGTCCGCTTGGCCACTGCGTCCCCGATGTACATCTCGTGCCGCTCCGACATTGTGCGCAAAAGTGGAAAAAACTGCTTGGAAGTCACCTTAGCGTGACATGTGAGGGACGTGCCGACGGACGGTGATATGGAGACGAGGGAAAGGTCATGCACGACGAAGGATGCTCTTTTCACCAGATGTCTTGCCAGCTGCCATCAAACAACGCGACACAATCATGCAAGTAGAGCATTCCAGGGACCGCTGACATCACTGATCCATAGTCATGGTGCGTTTTGGCGAATTGTGAATATTCATGATGCTGATCTATTGGGTTGCCATAGGAGCGAGAACTGCAAATAAGCTCAGCCCACCTTGTTTAAAGGGGAATGCTCTTCCCATTCTTAAAACGCTCTTCTGCTCTCTTAAGTTAGGGCTACAGGTAGGCAATGCAAACCCATTGTTCAGCCCTGCTGTGGACTTCACTTGGAAAGACCAAGAAGCCTGTTTGCGATCCCTATTATCAGTCTGATCCGCTGCGTAATTTGCGCACACAAACACAGTCAAAGCCTGGGAGAGTCTATATTGTGGCAAACAAGCTTCTACACAGAACTGTTGGTATAAGACTGGCCTCTCAAGTGGCTATTAATATAAGTAAGTATAGGTTACATGCACACATTGCAATTTTATTTTATTTTATCATAATTTTACTTTATAATTTGTTGGCACAACACATTGCCCCTGCTGTTATAATAAATAAATATACTTTAGAAATTTTAAATAATTTCTTTTTGTCAAGGCTGACAAACAAAAAGCAATGAATAGTGTCATTAGAATACTAAAATTAAGACTTATGATCATATGAGTGAACTTTTTGTGCAAATATTTTGTTTATGTGTCCTTGTTATTCCAGATAATCTCATGGCTCAATTTCACAGCTCTGTAATACCAACAGTAATGAGGTATAATGGTCATTAACGCCCCTAACATTCTCCTCATATGAAAAAGGAAACACCTTCAGGTAGTTTACCTGACAGATTGCCTTAATTCCTTGTGTTTATGACATTAAATCACAACACCCAATGCAATGGTGTATTTTTGCATAAGGTCATTTTGGCCCCCCATTAAAAAGATAATGAACTGAATTGAACTGAGTCCCAGGCACAATTACTGTACATATATTGTACCCAGTGAAAGCCTTTCCAGTTGTTTAATTTCAATTAATATATATATTATAAGTACCCCCATTCCAGAGCTTGATTAAGTAACCCACTTATTAGCTAGTTGCCATTCAAGGGTGAGAGAGCAAGGTACACATAAAACTACAGCTGGATTGCAACACACAGCTTAAAGCAATTAAAACCACAGCAGGTGCCTTTTAGAAGATGTGTTCAGGTACCTTGGTAACACTGAAGACACCAAGCTGGCATAAAGAAGCTTGTGGTCAGCAAAATCAGGTTGGCTTATATTAGCTTATTCCAGAAATTTCCATGGAAATTAAATTGCAGAAATGCCAAATATGTGTAAAACTCAGGAATCACACTGTTGTGGTATCAGCCTCAAAATTCCAATGGCAGGAGATACAGTGTGAAAGTGTCAAAGTGGAACACTATGGTGTTTGATTAAGGTCATACCAACCATCCAACACTTGGTGCTCAAATACTTCATATGTACTGTATTATCTAAGAAGATTTTGAAGACACAGGATCATACAATTTTGACAGAGATGTTAAGGGATAATGCTAAGGGTACCTTGAGTGATCACTAATTCATTTTTTATTTAGTTTTTTGTGAAATTCTTTGAGGGACATCATCTCTTTTCTTACTGTCTTCTGTTTTATGTCCTACCTCTGCTGTGCCTCTCTGGTTGGACAAGTTAACAGCTGAATCTGAGAAGAAAAAAATCACATGAGGAGATCAGACAGGATGCAACAACATTGTCCAGGCGGACATATCTGCTGGTAGTAACTTGTTGGAGATATATATTTATAATAATAATACCAACAACAACAACAAGATTGTTAACAATATTAGTAAAAACAGTAATAATAGTAAGAAAGTGTATTTATACAGCTCTTTTCAAAACCAAATTACAATACTTTGGTTGAACCGGGATCAAAACTTTAATGAAATACAATCAGACAATTACAACAATGCAACAACAATAAATGGAAATCAAAAAATTTAAAATATAAGATATAGACACTGGTGTATATGTCAGATGGAAAGGTAGCAAAAATTGCAGAAATGAAATGCCAAATTGAGTTAGAGGTTAATGTAAGTGACAGTGTCACCTTCACGTAGTTTGTTCATATGATTAAACTGGACTTGTGTGCTTTTTATTAAATGTATTCATATTTGTACATTTAAGACTTTTCATTCACAACTAGCCTACATTAGAGTCGCAGAGCAACACATCTGCAGTTCTCAAACATTAAGTCACAATAAACTCTGAAAAGCTACAGGTTGTTTGACAGAACTTAACACTCAAAGTTATCTCTATCAAGTTAGAAACAAACAAACAAAAATATACAGCTGTTTACCCAAGTTCTAAAAACCACACAAAAATGGTAGCTGGTTGCTTGTTTTGTACAAACGCAAGAAAATCTTTGATGTATAATATATAAAAAAGACAAAATGAACCTGGTAGTCTACAAAAAAAAAACAAAATACTAAAATAAGGTGATGCGTCATACAAGGTGATCTCTATATGTCTACTGTAAGGGGAACAAACTGGGACTAGTTACCATCGAGGTGGTATGGCCATATATGCCTGAGTCACAACAGGTCATTTTTATTTATGGAAGCAAAAGAAGAGAACCCCCCAGCGGTAACCATTGTCATCCCTATTAGTGTTGTCAAAAATATATATTGATACATATTGATTCTAAAAATTATATAAAACGTTCATTTCCACATATCAATACACCGATATCAGTGGCACTTCCTCACTCTCTCTTATTGTATAGTTATTCTGCTGTTCTGTGCTGCTAACCACAAAACTTATTGTCATATTATAGCCTTGTTTTATTTATCTTTTAATAAAATGTTTAAATGGTATGACATCCATGTCCAATTTTTCTTGTGGTATCAAAAATGGTATCAAATCAAATCTTGGTATTTTTCAAGGTATTGTATCAAAGTTAGAAATTCCAGTATGGTGACAACACGTGGTGCTGTCATGTGTTCCACAGGTAGCAGGTCACATGCTGAGACATGAGGCAGCTCTATTTTCTAAAAACTCCAATGTGATGCTGTGGAAAGCTCAAAAGCTCAAGAAACTAGTGATTAGGCCTTTTGTTACAAAGCTATGAGATGTTTCAAAACTGCTCCTGCATTACCAAATTGTCTTACCACTGTTACATATTATACTGTAAACATATATATATATATACACTATATATTTATATAGTGAGTGCAAGTTTATGTCCGCAATAACTAGCTTGTACTGTTAAATGTATTTCAAGAGGCTGCATGTGCATTCTTTCCCACATAAAACTACTTCTGTATAAAAAGTCAAAGGGCTACATATTGAATTATGAATAGAATATGTTTTTGTTTTTGGTAGCAGTTTGTTGACAGTACTTTATTCTATTTCTTTCCGAGAGTAATTCACCCTTTGCTAAGGCCCACCCCTCTTAGTTACTGTTGCTAAGTCCGACAAACTTTCGGTTTCGGAGCTAGACTGGCATGGCGCTCCCACTGTCGCTAACTGCAATAACTGGAGAAATACTCTCACATTTTTGGTAAAACAAAAAAGCATTTGCATTTGAAGGATATATTCAGGATGTCAGACTGACACAGCAACAAAATCAAGGTAACAAAATAAAGATTGAAGCTAAAGCCTACAGATCACAATGTAAAAGTGAACCACCACATCACTGCTGATCGCCACAGAAGACAATAAATATAAAGGGAAACTTTGCTGATATTGAACCAGCTGTGTGGCATCACAGTGTGTGCAGATGAACAGTGTTTAGCTTCACCCCCATGCCGCTCCCACCACCCAGACTGGCAGCTGTACTGTCGGGGGCTGCAGAAGAAGTCAAACAATGTTCATCTGCGCACAATGCGTTGACACACAGCTGGTTCAATATCAGCAAAGTTTCCCTGCTTCCCTTCACTGGTTCCTGTACAGAAGGGTTGGGCTTTTTTTCACTGTTATAATCATTAAAAAACAAAAGCAGCATGTGCATACATTCAGTAGGCTATATCTTCGGTAGCTAGCTAGCTTAGCTAACCCTACACTTTTCTAGGTGGCATTCTCTTCTGCAAATTCTGATTTAATTCATTTCCGCTATGTCTCGTGAAATTCTTGTGGTTTTATTTCTCATATCAATGGTACCTTTGACAACAGGAACAATCCCTTTTTGTTCTGGTTACATGTTCAACACACACTTTGCTGAAGACAAACATTTAGCTGAGACTGGTTGCACTGTCATTACAGACAGTGCAACAGGTACCAGAGCTCCGCAAAGACAATTTAGAAAATGCTGAGTTAACATTAGTTAAATATTTGTTAAAAAATAAATCAGTATTCGTCAAACTGAAGGTAAATTACTTTTGAAAAGAACCAGCGTTGGCAGTTAGCCACCAAGAGTAGCCACTGGGACTAACCACAGTGTATGTAATGGGACTAACTAGCTTACTGCTATTTCCACTGTCTCGCTGGAAGTCACACACATAATCATTTCTACAGTAGTGCTCTCAGGAATAAGGTGGATATAACTTACCAAGCTATCTTCTTGTCTTTATTTAGCAAAGAAAAAAACAAATGTCAGCCCTGTGAATTATTAAATTACAGCGCACAGATATGCAGTCTCTCTGTCTGTCAATCTATCCACTGTTATATTCATAATCCATCAATCTATTGCTAGGTAAAGAATTTAGTATTATTATTGATTTTGTATTATTGATTTTTTATGGATTTTCTGGGTCAAACTGACGCGTGCTCGCGCCGCGCGCCAACACGTAACCAGACCCGCCCACTGACGGTGTTTGTTAGCAAGGTGCTGTTGTTACATTAGCTGGAAAAAATATCCACAGAGAACTTGTCTCCTAAAATGGACACAAGTCAGTCATGGAAATTAAAACGCTATGGACGTTACGCTCCTGGCTCTACAAGCGGAAAACCGTGGAAGGTAACGAAAGTTTACCGAAAATGTATTGAATTTATTGAACTAACTTTAGCTAGGTAAGGGCTAGTTAGCTAGTTTAACGTCGCCTAAGCTAACGTTAGCATGTTGTTGCAGAGTCTGACATTAGCTTCCCTTAGTCCCGTTTAACTATAGT